TTTCACTCTATTAAACTCATGATGTTGTACGAATTCATTAATTTAATAATATGTAACAGTTATAAATAAAAGTTATATAAATAAATTTGTTTATCCAAAAATATATATTACGATTTGAATTATTTTAAATTATATAAAACATTGACATTTATATAGTAGAGAGAGTCCTCTTCTGACTCTTGTTTATATATCATTACTTTTTTTTTAATTTTATTTTGTAAGTATTATGTGGAACTTTAAATTCAAAATTTTTGCATAGACATATTTGAGACCAACTGCCTTTACATGTTGAGCAAAAAGTGTATCCTTCAATGTTACATTGATAATTTAACAATTAAAAAATAATGAAAAATAAAAAATTACAATTTAATCTATCTTCCTTAGACTTTTCTCGTCTCTCCTTTCCCTTCTCTTTCCTCTTCTCCTATCTTTTCTTCTTCCATTATCTATCAAAGTAGACCCCAATCCGCCGTTTCACAAGGTCGTCACTGTTCGTGCTTTTCATTTTCAGTCTCCATTTCCCTCAACTGTTAGTGCCTAAAAGCACCCAAGTCAGAAAATAGAGCAAAAAAGATAATTCAAGCACCAAATCAAGCTCAATAATTAGTCACCATTGCGATTTTTTCAATGTAATATTGTTGATTATGGGTGTGCTGCTCCAAATTTTACATGAATATATATATATATATATATATATTTATATACACAAATATAATTGATATATAATTGTAAATATATTAATTATAAGTAATAATTTAAATTTGAGTTTGATTTTTTAAGGATAATGTAAATCTAACCTAAAGAATTAATATATCATTAATTAGGGTCTTTAATTTATGTCTTTTTAGTTGTTATCGAAGTAGTTACTACTATAGGTATAGACCCATATTGGCTGTCGTGCGTAGCATAGTTAGAAGTTTGATTGGGAGTTTGATGAGGGCACAAGGCATTTAAGTGGTAGGGAGACTAAGAGAGATTGTGATGCCTGAATATTACATAATAATAGAAGCGTGAATTAAGTTGATGTATAATTGTAAATATCAATAATTATTAAAAATTTAAATTTAAATTTTTCTTGGCCACATAGATCCACCTAGTGGGGACTCTGATCCATGCCGTTTTCCTTTGGGTTTAAATCAATTTATACAATTATTTTCTATCCTTTTCCTTTCCACTTATTGACCCATATTTCTTGCTCTTTACCAAACTATGGAAAATCTATGTGAATCTGTGTCTATTTCAAACATATTCTACTTTTCCTTCTTCATATATATTCTACTTCTCCTTCTTCTGGTCGGTTTGTTTTTTAATTTAATTTGTCCAATTTGATGCCAATTACAAAAGTTGGTAAACCTCCATAATGGACTTATTGGGTTCTAGCAATACTGGATATGTAACTAACAAATGTCAAAAGGAAGGAAGAAAGCCGGTCAAATACCAAACTTTATCATCTGGCGAAGAAAATTTAATATGTAATTTAAAAGGCAGAAGAAAGTGGGAGAGATTTTCGTCCGAAGGGAAAAAAAAATATTTTAAGTCCCACAATACCATTTTTTTTAATAAATAGAAAATTTGTTAAGTAAATGGATGAGAGAACGACTTGAATATATATATATATATATTAGGGTACTATAACTAAAGACAAAAGTATAACTTACAACATTAGTTAAAGACTTAAATTATACTTATGATGTCTTATACTCATAAAAAATATATATATAATTAAGTATAAAAAATAATTTATAATTAAAAATTGTAATTGCAATCACTGTATAAATATAAATAGGGCTACCACCTTAGACAACAATGTCACCATAAGCATTCTCAATTATCAGACATTCTCCCCTATTTCACTAGTTAGTAGCTTCATGGAGAAAGTATGAGAAAACGACAACAGTCTCCATCCTGCTGGTTGCCACCTTTACCAATCTATAAAGGTCAACCCGCAGGTGGTTCTTGGTCCTCGACTATGTGAGCAAAAACCACATCTACATTGTCAACAAACACCTTCGTATCTCTCTCCTCTAAATAGTTAGAATTAATTTTTCTCTAATCATGGGAATTCTTCTTCTTGCTCAATGAAGCTTTTGATCATCGTCCAATGTGCCTCTATTTACCTTTGCCTGCATCAATGCCTTCTACACCTCTCTTTGAAGCACTAATAACACCACTAGAAAAATAACTTTTAGACATCAAGTATTCGACATCACAAATATGGTGGTGTCAAATATATATATATATATATATATATATATTTTTGACATGGCACAGCAGTGTCAAAATATATTTGCTAAAAAAAATATTACATTTTGGCCAATAACTTGATAGTGCCCCTATTTAACAGCACAACGCGATGTCAAACAATTACTGCCCAGTCAAAGTAAAATCACTTGGGCCAAATTTGTTACATATCACATTGCAATGTCAAAGAATGGCACTCTTCTTGTTACCTTTTTTTACATACAAAAGTAATTTAAAAATGAAAACAAATTCACTATAGGGATCATTAGCACCATATTATTTGACACAGCTACACCGCACGTAGCGATGTCAAATAATAGATATTGAGGGTAACCAAACGTCCATTTGGAAGGGGGGGTTATTTGTTGGGTTATTTGACACCGTAGTGCAATCAATATGAAATTTAAGTTTCAATTTAATCAGTACCTTGTTTCTTTGGGTTGATATTTGGTTTCTTATTTGACAGCACACTACAATGTCATATAATTTAAGAAATTCTAAAATCCCTCCTTATTACACCTTTGTTATCTAAAATATTTCAAATTTTTTGCCTTAATTGTTTGACACCATAGTGTCGTGTCAAATACTTTCAAAAAAACAAAAAAAGGAAAAAGATGGACCCTCCCTAATCACGCCTTTATTTGCTGAAAGGACGTTGATTGGCTTTCATTACCCTTCTTCATACATTGATTAAAAAATTAAAATTTCTTGATTTGAAATTAGGAAAGGGAAATACCTTAAACTCGTTGCCATTCATATTGCCTTTGTTTATTTCTTTTTCCAAACATACTAACATTGCAAGTTATGATAGACTACTATTTGGTTCTAGAAATCCGGCCAAGTTCCAACTTGAAATTATAGAACCCAATGAGGTAAAAAAACCAACATGAAAAATCTACACATAAGAAAAATGCTAATACCACCTAGTTTCATATTTTCAATCAAACGAAGGAGATTTACTAGTTTTCGGCTAAATGTCTACGCAATCTACTGGACTCGCCAACATCTGCCATGATTTCAGCAACTCACAAGAAATCAGAAAAAATGTAAAATAAAATAGACAAAATTTGTAAAGGCTACCCAAATTTGATTGCTACCCAAGATGGAGGAAAGCCAAGGTTGAGTTGGTCGTCCACTAGCTTTAATCACAATTTCAACTAACAAACCACAAAATTCACAACAAACAATTATGGAGCAATTGAAAATCATACAATGAAAATTGCATTCAACACCAATAAACCCTAGATCTAGGATGAAATCAACAATTCATTTCATTATTTGTATTGAAATTGCATAATATCAATTAGAAAGAATAGAGGAAGGAAATTGTTGCCTAAAGCTTAAGGCTTCCCTGTTCTACCCATGAGCTCCTCTTCTTCTTCCTTTCTTTGACCCCATAACCAAGGAGAGAGCACTCTAGAGACACAAGAAAGAAAACCACCCCAAACCACCCTAGATCTAGACAACTCAAATTCAAAGAACCTCTTTCTACTGTTTTGCTACTAGCTTTCTACCTCAAAACCTAGATTTGAAACCCCTTTTTGCCATTTTGTTTTGCTGTTGGCTTTCCACCTTAAAACCTAAAAATGAAAATCCCCAAAACTTGAGCCTTATTCTCCCTAGATTTGAATTGAATGTGGAAGGGATTTAAGTAGTGTTTTTAAAACCAAACCACATGTCAAACTGTTTTAACTTATTTAATTGTTAAAACTACTAGGTTGATCAAAATACTATGAATATATTATTATACATAATGTTTCATGTGGTGTGAGCTTGTTGTAGTGGTAGGTGCCTGATTTCTCTATAAAGAGATCATAGGTTTGAGTTCCCGTCATAACTAACTTTAATATAATAATGCTTTTAAAAATAAAATAAGTATATTGTAAAGTGTAGAGTTACAAATAAAAAGTTATGTATCAAGTAGAAGAATCTTTATTGTATGACATGGAGGATGGGAGTTCAATTCTCAAGGTTATTATCAACAATTTAGTTAAAATCTTTAAGATTTTTGTGAGATAAATAACATTTTAGGCACCCAATGACACAAGGATTTCATTGTTCTGGTGGCAAAGGATTGAAAGAAGAGCCTTAGGGTTGTAAGTTTGAACCTCGTGTGAGACAAATTTTTGAAGTTTTTATGCCCAAGTATTTAAACATATGATCAAATAGTTTATGGGTTCATACTAGTTTGAGTGGTTTTAATGGTTTTAAATGATTTACTTGCCCAAATGATTTTGAAGGTGCACTTGAACCATTTATACTATCAAGTGTCGATTCCACTAGTTTGACCGACCAATCCAACCCAATTTTCAAAACAATGGATTTAAGCATTAGGGATTCAATAGGATTATTCTTGACAAGCAAGGATAGGCTAACTTATAGAAGAAAAATGTATTTTAATAGGTGAACCAGTAGTATATGACTAAATGTGTGGATTTGTTGTGTGGATGTATTATTTCCCTTGATAAAAATATTAAAAATATTTCACTTTAATTATATTTAAAACTTTTTACTTTAATTATTTAACACTGCACTGAGGTGTCAAATAGTATACCTATTTATATACCCAACATTTCACTAACTTCCTCATTTCTTTCCTTTCTTTTCTTTTTCTCCTCTTCTTATCTAAATTATCCTCTC